GATTAATAAAGAAAAGATGCACTAAAGTACAAAAGTCATAAAAATAATTAATAAGTTAATAATGTCACCTTCTCTTTTGTCTTTCCACAAGTCCTAGCATCGTGACCTTTGATACCACACATGCTACAAGTTCGTGTCCTTGCTTGAGATGCTTTTTGTGACACTTGTTTTCCAGATGGAATCCTACCAAGTTCTCTTGGTCGGCCTTTGGTTTTAGCTCTTTCCGGATCACGAATTGTTATATTACTCGAAATTGCACCTTGGGAGATTGCTGGAGTGCTGACATTTTGTTCAAGAACCAAACCTTCATGTTGCTTGTCAACTCTATCTAACTGCTTCATCATATCCTCTAATAATGGTGCAATAGCATTGTAATGATCACGGTGTCCTATTGCTCGTTCATGCACTTCCATAAATGATTTTCGAAGATTCCAAGATTCCAAAGGAGAAACTACTGAATCTTTTGATACACTACTTGATTCACACGCAGTCTTTTTACTACGTTGCCTATAAGTTAGGGTCCATCTAACCAAAATGTAGCGTTTAGGAATCTCCTTCATTCGATGACATTGCTTCATAATGTATAAAATGTGTTTACATAATATACCAGCAGTCTCAAACTTCCCACATGTACAAGCAAATTCCTCAGCTGATGGTCCACATCGTACAAATTGTGAATCAACCATCTTTCCCAACTCATAAGTAACAACATATGTGGTCACCCCGTCACAAGTGTTCACTTCATCATGCATACAATAGAAACATGCTTTGAATTCACTTTGAAATTTGTCAAAAATTTTTCTAGTGTATATATTTCCCACTTGAACTTCAATAGGATGTAAGTTAAGGGGATTTGGCTTTGCTTTCATGGTCTGCATGTCTTCATTCACTTCTTGATCACGTCGAGATTGTAATGCTCTAGTATATTGGCCAACAAACTCAGACAATGGAGTTTTAGAGTTCACATAGCCATCAAAAAATGAATTAATGCTCTCACTTCGCTGACTTGATCTCATTCCAGCAAAAAATGTGTCTCTCAAATATACATCAACCCAACTATACCGTTGTTCATACATGTTTTCCAACCACTTCCAAGACTTCATTTCATTATGTTGCTTATCAGTTAATGGCTCCACAAACTCATGCTTATATTTGTCTTTCAACTCTTTCCAAGCACTCTCAGCTTCTTCAATGGTTTTACTACTTTTTACCCACTTATAGTACTGTTCATCAAACCCGGGATTATATGATGATCTTAATGAACGAAGGTGCTCATCTGCATGAAGTGAGATGTGCCAAATGCAAAACCTATGGCGTGTGTTCGGAAAGACCTTTTTAATAGCATTTGTGATTGCCGGGTCTTGATCAGTGATGATTGCACCTGGTTCTTTACCCCCCATGCATGATAGCCATCGTTTAAATAACCATACAAAAGTAGCTTCAGTCTCATCTGATAAAAGGGCACATCCAAATAGTGTTGATTGTCCATGATGGTTCACACCGGTAAATGGTGCAAATGGTAAAAGGAATTGATTGGTTCGATATGTCACATCAAAAACCACAACATCACCAAAATGTTGATACATTTCCCTTGCTCTCCCATCTGCCCAAAACATGCTCCTACAAACACCATCTTCATCAAGCTCCATGCTATGGTAGAAATTTTCATCTGAGGCAGTCATCTCTAAGAATTGTTGCATAACTACCAAGCACTCACGACCAATGTTGCTTTCTCTTTTCTTCCTTAAGTGCTCTTGACATTGTTGGGGAGTAATATTTGAGTTACCTTGGCCTGTGACATTCAAGAGTCTTGCAATTTTTGAAGGTCCACACCCTGCTAACTTGTATTGATCCATTAACTCCCTTGTCTCTTGTAGCAAATGTTCTTTGTTATGAGAGCGCAGTTTTCTTATTTTATTTGGAGAGCTAAACAACTCATGGTTATGCTCATCAACAAAATGGATGATGATCCAAACTCCATTTTTAAAGTGCAAAGACATTCGAGCCTTACAACCTACTTGGATTGGACGTTCACATGATGGTTTATATTTAGGCACATAAGGTCTCTTCTTACCAGCCTTGTAGCAAACATAATATTTTCTATCAACAGGTCCATAAGAGGTGGATCTCTTTGATGATTCCGTTCGAATACTAAATCCCACTCTCCTAGCATATTCATTGTAAAACTCACGAGCTTCTTTCTCCGAAGGAAATTGCATCCCTTTATGAGGCATCCAACTAGTAATGTCATCTTCACCTGACATTTCTTCACATTCTCTAGCTCTTACCACATCGTGAGAGGCAACAGCACTTGTAATCTCTTGTGAATCATACTCATTCCTTTCTTGTACAATTAACAAATTGCTGTTGTCAATATCAGTTATTAATTGCTGAACATTGATATCTTGAGACATTTTTTGAGCATCTAGAGAACACCTATAAAACAAACAAAAATGACAATAATTAAACTATAAAAAAAAAAAAAACATGGAATTTAAAACGTGAAGCATTTAAGCGTTTTTTTTTTAGGAGCAATTACACAGTACCGATCAAAAAAATTGCATAGATTAAACTCCACCAAGATCACTTTTTCAAGAGGAATTTCTTAATGAAACTAATACAAGGACTCTGTTTTTTCAACTTGAAAACAGAGCATGCATGGTACTTTATACTTACATCTTCTAAGAATTAATACAGTTTTTACTAGCAAAACAAATGGATTAAAGTTCCATTTAAGAAAATCTTCCCATTGAAAGAGAGTCAATACATTTCCCAAATAACCTCTAAAATTTAGTTGCTAAAAAACGAAAACCTTCTAAATTTTACACTTAACCAAATGAAATTTATGGCTAAACAAGTAAAGAACTAAAGAGAAAACAAGATTTAACATGTATTTAATATATCAATTTCAACTATGAAAGAAGAACGAAAATTGATCAAAGAGAACTGAGAAGCAATCAAATCAAACCTGTGAGAGATTACCTGAATCAAAGGAAGAATAAAATGAAAGAAAATTGATGAAACTTTAGACAACGAACAAAATGCTCTCAACAATGCAAGAGAGAAATCATAGATGAAAATAAATCACACATAGAGAAAGATAAATCATAGGGATTATGTTTGATGGAGGGGATGAAATAGGAAAAAAGGGAGGCAAAGCGTTCAGACGAGGATGGTGCAGGAAAACTAGGGAAAAAAGAACCCAAAACAATTTCCGCC